TAAGGTTGTTCGATGAATTTTAAAATCACTCCTTGATAAAATATCTGCATCCTTTTTCGTATATACATTCATTAGGTAATTCCAGCCATAATAGAAAATGCAAACCGAAACCGCACAACTGGCAAATTTTTATTCAGAAACTGAATTGTGACCTGCAAGCTACGATATTTTATATTCAAATTCTTTAGAAGAAAGAAGTTTCGTTCCTTCATTGTTTTCTTGGTCCATACGACACAACTCTAAAGAATATCGGGTCTTTTAGTGAACCTAATTTAATCAAAGACACATGAAACAAATTTTTTTAAAATTTTCCCTAGAGAAAGTAAAACAGTTTCTGTACCTTGTGATTTTTCCTTGACTTGTGGGAGGATGAAATAATTTTTCAAAAATAGATGTTTTGTAATACTCAGTGTTTCTAGTATTCCACTCTGTATTTTTGAGGCATATACAAACCTGCCATTAAGCTTAGGATGTTTGCTGTTTTAGGGAAATCCTATGGCAAAATGAAAGTTATTTTTTCGTAAATGAAAACAAAGCATTAGAGTATTTAAACCGTCAAGATTTTTACAGAACAAACGATTTGATGCTCTAGAATGTCCCTCTAAAACAAAGCAGAAATATCTTTTTCTTTTCAGAGTGGATGGAACTCTTGGTTTTTTCTCCGTGTTTGTAAATATGCGACATTACTCAGATTGTGCTATCCTAAATTGATCATTTACAAACATGCATTCTTTCACCGGTCTGATGATGCAGTATCCGGTATCACTTTCATTCTACTTCGCTGCTCTTAAATCTAATACTTGATATAGCCAAAGTAAATAAGAATCGATTTTTGTGGACTTTAACGACTTCGGTTTGTCTTACTTGAAAATAATTTCCATGGTTTGCTACTAAATTGAATGAACAATGTGATAGTAGCAGTGCCCTTTCACCTGGAAGTAGTTTTCCCAATGTAGTCGAATGTCTCGTGAGCAAATTAGATCCACCACTTTAGTTTCAGTGTCACTTCAGTATCACACACGGAAAGTACTTTTTTAAACTAGCATGAAAAATCACTTCAAAACAACATTCTTAAGCTTTTAATTGGAATTCAACTAAAAATAAAACTCGTCGTCAAAATTAAAGCTTTTAAAAAGGTACGTACACGTAACTTATGCAAGTCTTCGCTTAGGTTTGAATTGGTAATTGATTAAATCTACTCTCCGGACAAGGCCGGAAAATATGGCGTTAAAGCACTATTGTGTTTCTTCAGCGCTGAATGGAAAGTTCCTTACGTCGAAGAGACGGAGGTTCTTTTAATGCTGAGTCGTCAACATCTATCTTAAAGACTTCCAGGAAAGGGAATAGTCCCGAAACAGTTTCGAAATCACTACTCTCTATGTATATATACAAGTGGTAATGCCATTAAAGTGGCTTTACGGATACAAACAAGCACAGTTGATGGCACAACTTGATAGCTCACGGTGTAAAATGGCCGGCGCAAAACTACTGGTAAGTCAAGGTTTTTCAAAGGCGTCGTGAATCGTCAATCGCCGAAACTTTCGCAACGTTATTATTCTTACCTCAATTCTTCGCGCTCAGTTACTTTTTAGTGAAACGTCGACACTTTTTTTTGTTGCAAGTCTGAGCGATATACTGGCGGTTTAATTTAATAGCGTTAGGTTAGATCGATCATTAATCATAGTGAACGAGATGCATTCGCATCAGCCTTCGGGACTGTCAGACCAGATCAATCAATTCTTCAATTTTCATCCATATTTTTCTCTTAATCTGTAAATTGCTTAAATAAACAGTCAATTAGTTCCACCACCCTTTGGTTAACAAACTTGGATTTGAACAGCTTGCAGACCTCCACTCTTCCATAAGGTTAATCAACTCTTATTTTTCCTTGTCGATATTTTTAGGTCTTGCTTGTCCTACCCTGTCTGTTATTTTCGACGAGCGGTGCGGAAGACATATCTCCCAAGAAAGAAAAAAACACATTGAAGGCTTTTAAGAGACAGGGCAGAGCCGATCTCCTCAAAGCTGAGCGGAACGGGGAAGACGGAGCTTTTAAACTTTCCTTTACTGGAAACATGACAGGCCCTACAACAGGTGAGCATTTATTGTTAATTGAAGCGGACAATCATTTTCAACAGGAAGCCAGTCAGCGATTGTACAGATGGAAAGGTTCTGTCATGAGAGGATAGATATTAGCTTTAGTGAATCCTCTTTTCGGGGGGGGGGGGGGGGGGGGGGAAGTTCGCCCTCTAATAAGGGTACAATCAGTGATTGTAAGGATGAAAAGGATCCAGTTCTGTCTGGAGAGGATAGATATTAGCTATGGTGAATCCTTTTTTTCTCAATGTAGTGCTTCTCACCTTTCACAGGGCCATATTAAAAAACTCCTAACCTAGAAAAAACTGTCTTAAAATTTTTGTGATAAGAGCTAGATCAAAGCGCCTTTCTTGACAGAACTGAGACTTAACTATATACGTTACTACATACGAAATTATCACTCTGTATATCTATCACCAGGTACACAATTCCTCTTCAAAACTTACTGGAATGTTTCTTCCGGTTATTTTACCATTCACCCCGCTGATTGGCCAGAGTATTTACTGGCTGTTGATGGACGAAAGTTGGTCGTAAAGGTTAGTGCAGCTTGAAAGACAATAGTCAGATAAGCATCTCTAATGTGAAAATAAAGTAGTTTTCAATGTAAAGCATGAAACAAAAAGCGTCTCAAAATGGATGCGGACTGATTAAATTGCCATTCTAAATAGCGGACTCGATGAAAACCTTACACAAAAAGATGTTCAAAGAACGCAGTTATCTTTCTTGCTTTTTGTTGTTGCTTTTACTTTTTTCCGGAAACAGCGCACTGAACAACCTAAGCATTTCAATTGTCCGTCCGCTGCTTCTTGGATGAAACTCCTACGCTCTGATTGCTCCATTTAAAAACAATATAGTCCTTCCTGCACTCTGATTGGTTATGGACTATATCGAGTTCCTTAACCACAGAGACATAAGTGATGTAACAGTTTAAGGATACCGGAATGTAGTGCCATAAAGATACCCTTCTCTTGCTCTTTATCGGCAGAAACCACACAATTCTACGACGGAACTGACGGAAAAAAACTATAAGTTTTCGCTGACGGAATTCCACTGGACATATACTGATAATGAAAATAACAAAGAGGTGGAACGTGTCCTAACAGTAATAGTCTCCAAAGCCAGTGGCCTCGCGATTAAAAGTGCAAGGGATGGTCGCGTCCTTTTGAGCTCTAACTGGATGGACTGTGGAGCATGGCTCTCTCTTTCAAAGGTCAATGATTAATTATTCCACTGGGAATTCTTTGAAGGACATTGTCCGATTGGTAAAATAATTTATCTGTATGTATATAGTTTTACGTTCATTCACTTGGCTGACTCCAGGCGAATTTATTTTATAAAAGTAATTGTGTGTTTTGAGTTCGTAAAACATAACAGTAGGTAAGTTCTCACAGAGCACTTTTACATCGAGTATCGTGAGTCACGAAGGAAATCAAAAAACAGGATTGAATCAAAAGGAGAAAACGAGAACTCGTCGACTTTGATAGAAATAAAACCTATTAAGCAAGGAGTGTGAAGAAACGCGACTGACCACGTGACGATTGGTATCAGTTTCGCATTTGATTGGTTGAGAGAGTAGCGCGAGCCTGGTGAAGAGAGACAAAAGCGATATACTTATATAAGATTTATTCTGTTGAACTTAAAATCGCACTTCATAGTTATATTTAATACATTTACTACGCTATGATATGTTACATATCAAGAAAAAAAGAAGGAAAAGATGAAGAAGTTAAATTAACATAAAAGAGAGTCAGATGTATAGTAAATAACAATTATTTACAAGATCCGGTTAGGATAGGGCTTGACGAAATCGTCTTACAAGTGAAATGCATCGTATACTATGTATTTGAGATGATTAATATAATCATGTTGTGCATGCTATCGACATTGATTGAATTTTGATATTTATGATGTATAATGAATACTTATATTCCTTGTATGATTGACTCAGGTGAGTCAATACTGTGTTTATTTAAAGCACAAATTATTTAAATAAAGCAACCTTAGTTTTTACGAGAGAATTTCGATTGATTTAGTCTCACAGCATTCGACTTTGTGTGTTCACAGACTTTTCAAAATAACAAATTCAATTGTTTTAAATGGTTGATGCGGTTAATATTTGGTATTGTCAAACAACTCACTAAGATAACAAATAACAGTTGTGACAAACACAAGCAATTGAGCTTTGACACTTACCTTCTACCTTCTTATGCAATAAAGTGAAAATTTTGCATTTGATTTGAATACTGAGGAGAGCATTTTTTCCAAATACTTCAATTATTCACTTGCATTTATTAAAAATTATCCATTACTGCAGCTTTCTCACAAACTGGAAGTCCCTTTTATCTTTCTATACCAAGACCTTCAAGTCTGCCGTTTTGATTATTGTGTTTTGGCCAGCTATTTTGTACATTGTTTAGTTTTACCTCAATTGAGATCTTCTTATGCACATTCACAATAATGAGGAAGCCTTTGTGAATTACTCTGTTTTAAAACCAGATATCAAAGAAAGGCTTCGTTTTCGATGGACAATTTTTCCAGATTAGAGCGGACGGTCAGCTTAACTTTTATTTGATACTGATAATTCGAAAAAGAATTATTGCTATTGAGCAAAAAACATGATACATCACTAGCAACAACCTAAACCAACCTAAACCAACCTAAGCAATTTGATTTGCCGTCCGCTGCTTCTTGGATGAAACTTCTACGCTCTGATTGCTCAATTTTAAAAACAATATAGTCTTTCCTGCACTCTAATTGGTTATGGACTATATCAAGCTCCTTTACCACTCTAACTCTTTGCCATAGAGTTACCCTTCTCTTGCTCTTTATCGGCAGAGACCACACAATTCAACGACGGAACTGACGGGAAAGAACTATGGGTTTTTGACGAAGGAACTCGAGTTTAAATATTATGATAATGTACAGAAAAAAAACGTGGAACGTAAGCTGACAGTAATAGTCTCCAAAGCCAGTCGCCTCCCGATTGAAAGTACCACGGATGGTCGCGTCCTTTTAGGCTCTAACTGGATGGACTTTAGAACATGGCTCTCTCTTTAGGCGCTCATTAATTAATTATTCCACTGGGATGTTCACCGATTAATAAACAAATATATTTGTAATTATATAGTTTTACGTTCATTCACTTGGCCCGCTCCAAGCAAATTTGTTTTAAAGGAGTACTTAAGTGTCTTGATTTAGCACTTTTACATGGAGTATTGTGAGTCACGAAGGCAATCAAAGCAAAGGCTGAATCACAACGTGAAAATGACAACTCGCCTACTTTGATGGGAATAAAATAAACCTTTAAGGCAAGAAGTGTGAAAAAACGCAGCTGACCATGTGACGATTGGTATCAGTTTCGCATATGATGGTTGAGAGAGTGGCGCGAGCGTGGTGAAGAGAAACAAAAGCGACACACTTAAATGAGATTTACTCTGTTGAAAACGCATTTCATAGTTATATTAAATACCTTTACTACGCTATGATATGTCACATATCAAGAAAAAAAACAGAAGTAAAAGATGAAGAAGTTAAATTAAGATAAAAAACAGTCAGATGTACAGTAAATAACAATTATTTACAAGATCCGGTTAGGATAGGGCTTGACGAAATCGTCTTACAAGTGAAATGCAACGTAATACTATGTATTTGAGATGATTAATATATTCATGTTGTGCATGCTATCGACATTGATTGAGTTTTGATATTTATGATGTATAAAGAATACTTATATTCCTTGTGTGATTGACTCAGATGAGTCAGTATTGTGTTTATTTTCAGCATAAATTATTTAAATAAAGCAACCCTAGTTTTTACGAAGGAATTTCGGCTGATTTAGTTTGAGTCTCATTCGACTATGTGTGTTCACAGACTTTGCAAAATGACAAATTCAATTGTTTTAAATGTTTCACGCGGTTAGTATTTGGTATTGTCAAACAACTCGCTAAGATAACAAATAACAGTTTTGACAAACACAAGCAATTGAGCTTTAACACTTGCCTTCTACCCGCTTATGCAATGAAGTGAGAATTTTGCTTTTGATTTGAATACTGAGGAGGGCATTTTTTCCAAATACGTCAATTATTCTTTTGCATTTATTAAAAATTATCCATTACCGCAGCTTTCTCACAAACTGTAAATCCTTTTTTTCCTTCTTTATCAAGACCTTCAGATCTGCCGTTTTGATTATTGTGTTTTGGCCAGCTATTTTGTACATTGTACAGTTTTACATTATTTGTGATCTTCTTATGCACATTCACATAATTAAAAAGCCTTTGTGAATTACTCGGTATTTAACTTGAAAACAAATTTGAAGAAAGGAGAGCTGGTTCACCGTCGCAGTCTTACACTGAGTCTACCATATTTGCTGTTAATCAGATGTCTTTCCCCTTCCGGCTTCCGGGCTCAATGGAATTTCGTCCAAATGATTTTGTTTACCTCTTAAAACGCTTCTAAAGTCCTCTTCAAACAAAGTGTACAAGAGGGGATTGACATGAGAAGTTCCAAATCACATGAAAAGAAGCAGTTTATTGACGGCTGGTGGAAAGAGTACCACTACATTCTCGTCATAGAAAATCGAGCTAAGGAAGTAAGCAAAACCAACCTAAAATAAAGGAGAGAATCATTGAGGCTAGAATGGTCACGGCGCGTTTTTGTCCCCACACAATAATTGCCGCAAGCAGCGACGCTCGACTGAATTTCTACACATGCGCAGTGGAAAGGTTTTATCAAAATGTCAACGTTTTTACTGAAAAGGCTTCGTTTTCGGTGCACAATTTATCCGGATTAGAGTGGACGGTCAGCCTAACTTTTATCAAAGAGAGGTCTCCCTAAAGTTTGTCGAAATAGCGTGCCAAACTTGGGTAATGACTGATTTGGCAGAGCGGCTCGGATTAACGGCATAAAGCCAGTAAGAAAAAGCCAGTCTAACATCTGGTGAGCGTTCATGGCATGTTTTTTTTTATAATTACATAATCATATTTTCATACGGGAACGACGATACAACGTTTGGTTTCGTCGCTTAGTTGCTAATAACGCCCAGACGCAGGTTCAAACCTTGGCGACGCTCGAATTTTTACACGCTTCTTTTCTGAAATGTCCTTAACTGCAGCTACTGAGGCTAATGTGCCAACATGATTTCTTTAATGGTTTTTTTTTATATGATGTCAAAGGTGTCAAGGAAAACGGGAAAAAATTCCCGATAAAGATGATTTAAGAATCTAATTGATCACGAGGAGTGATTAAAATCCACACGATCTTCTTGAGGGAAAACCCGAGGATTACTTTCGCAACTTCGGAAATACTGGATTAGATTGTTGTAACTGACGTCATGCAGGATTATCTCTGAGAGCAGGAAATGTATTTTTAGGCATGCGACACGTTTCAAACCGCGCGATATGTTGCAATGTAACAAAAACACCAATTAACAACCAATCAACATCGGCCCGCAGCAGAAAATTATGTTCAAAG